TTTTTAAGAGTGAAAACTCTTGCAGAACTTACAGGCCCTGCGCATTTCTGTAAACTTTGTAATTGTGCTATTGAAAATGCTAATGAATTAGCTAAACATTTTAAGAATCACAATACTTCAAACAAAGATAATAGCGATCACGAAATTAAAGAAAAAGAATTAACTTCAAAACCATTGGAAACAAATAAATTTGAGAAACCTTTAGGAATCCTTAAAAAGACACTTACAAAATCTAATACTACAGTAATAAACAGTCAAAAACCACAGCAATTACAAACAAATATAAACCAAGACAGACATTTACCTTCTTTACAAAATGTAACATCAGCATATCATAAAAATTTACCACCTTGTAATTTCATTCGAAGGACAACAGCTGTGTCACGTTCAGCTACTTCAAAATCTGATGCTATACCAATTAAAGTAATAGCAAATACTTCAAATATATCGAACAGTCATACTAATATACCGAATATACAAAAAACACGTGTAACGTCGTCTATCAGTGGAAATAAACAAAACCCTGCTGTTGTGACAAATTCAAGTAATGATCAATATAAATGTTGTTGTTATAATTTTATTTCAAATAATTTAACAAAATTGATATTTTATAATTTATCAGGTAATCATTTATCTTGTCAGAAGCAAAATTTGGAATATTGGATCCAGAGGGAAAAATTAGAAAAAATTGATAATAGAACAATGAGACCCACAGAAATGATACCCGAGATGAATCAAAATTCTGAACTATATCAACAAAGAATTCAGACAAGGATTGAGTGTGCTCCTTCATCTGCCTATTCTCCGTATTCTTCTTTTACTGCAGGCACTTCAAATAATAGTAATCAAATGCCTAAACAAAATCAAACGAAAATAGTTAGTCAACCAGTAGCAGCAAATACTTCCTCTATTTATTATAAAAGTCCAAGACATGCTAATAGTAGAATGTCAATAGTGATTAATCAGACTGCACCTATACAGAATATATGTAGGATACCCACAATAGGTATCCTACAGCAGCCAGCACAGCAACAATTATATCAGCATCAAGTTTACAGTGAACCAGTAACAGTTATGAACACAGGATATGTGCAACAATCACAGGTACATTGGTTAATTCCTTAAATAGGAAATGTTCATACAGTTCCTATTTAAGGAATTCATATCACATCGTTTCATATTAGCTTATCAAAACTCTATATAAAAAAACATATATAAATGTCTATATAGAAAAAAAATATAGAAATACATGTAACATGTAATGATTTGGATCTTTTATAAAAAAAAACTACTTGATTTATTATCGGATTATTTAAAGAATTAATAATATTTAAATTAATAATATTTAAATTATCAACATATTTCGCACTATATCTTTCAATTTTTCATTTGCAGAATTTGGTTGACTGTTCTGAACCAAATAGTTATCAACTGATAAATAATCAATATGAAATATCAAATAGACAACCAAATGTTGAAGTTACAACTTATGAAGTTAGATATATATGTCCTTATTGTGTGAAAAATTTTATTTCTAACGACTTAATGCAAATACATATAAATGACGATCATAATTTTATATGTAATATTTGTCATTTGCGTTTATACAATTTAAACGATTTACATCTTCACAAACTTAAACATAATGTAAATTTAATGTGAATTAATATGCGAATTTCAAGATAAGTGTGAAATTTAAAATATTACACGAATTATTAATTAATAAAATGTAGAACCACGATGAAGATATATATTGATATTTATATATAAATGTTGTAACAAGTTAAAGTTATATATCTTATAGCCGTATAATGTATAAATTAACTTTTTTTACCAAACATTAAATGATAAGGTGTTACTATTTATCTATAACATTATATTAATATTTTAACAAAGCAAATATCTTATTCTTATCCAAAAATTGACAGTTTCCTTCTTTTCTTATTCATATATTGTACTTCTTTTAAAAGTAAGATATAATTTTTATAGTGTTTCGTTGAACTCCATGATTTTAATATTGTATTGTCATATATTATATTTAAGTATATAACTAATTATAAGCTGAAATGTATCTCATATTGAAATTATATATCACGTGAAAAAAACTATTCCATATTATATATTACATTATATTATGTATATACAGTGAATTACAGTGAATCCATTTATTGGAATAAAATTTTAATTAGCATCTAATTAACTGAACTTTTATCAATATAATTTATTTTATCTGAAAGTGAATTACTATGCTAAAAAACTATGAATCTCTCCATATATGTGATTGTCCCAGATCATAAATAAAGATCATAAATAGAATTTTATTATAATTATTATAATTAGATAAGCAACAATGTTGCTCGCTGGCTGTTTAAGGTACAAAATATTTTTATATTTATATTGTAATTGTAATTGTTGAAAATGTTAACCAATATGAACAAATACTATGGATAAAGAATATAAAATGGATGATCTTCGACTATCAATAAATAGTTAACTATATACATATATGCATGTCTCCTTTATTCGGCACTTTGAGCTTTTCATTTCTTTACAGTAACCGTCACTTCGATCTATGTAATCGATATAGAAATACAATTAATAGAGCAATTGTTACAAGCAACGAGAAAGAAATCATGTTTACTAATCTAAAAATTCGAGTTTCTACATCCTTGCTCGTAACTATTGCGCAGGGGGACGAAATTACTCTGGCGTAAAGTTACTAATCGTAAGTTTAATTAGACTCTGATATTACGCGTTTTCATTTATTATTACAAGTAAATCGAAGGATTGTGCTACACACCGTAAAAAAAATTGTCAGACAAAAATCACATGATCTGAAATTAGATCGGTGACAAAAAAGTGGAACTTTTTATCGCGTGGTTTTTTTCTCATTTTTAAAAATCAGAAATTTCATTTGAATCCTTCGCTTTACTCATAGCATGTATTTAACGTTTTGAGCTTCTTCTTGCTAATTTCAATATTTTAATATTTTAATAATTAATATTAAAAAGCAACAGATTGCACTGTAAGCTAACTTTTTGAATTTAAAGAAATTTGTTTCTTTTTTTTTTTAATTTAATAACGTGTACAAAAGTAACGATGCACAAAATTCAAAAACGCAAGTGTATCGGTATATTGTTTAAGATACATTACGATGTTTGACGATTACAAATTTGTTAGTTTAGCAATAATAAATATCAGTAACTATAAACACGACTTTCACATAATATTGAATGATCAGGCTCGAAGGCGTTAACTTCATAAACGTTACAACCCCGTTTAAGCGTGATAAAAACGTGATCAAAAATTAGCCTTATAATACGCAATACAATCGTAAAAGCCTCTATGATGTGTATCAAATTGTGTATCAAAAATAAATGAAAATATTCAAAAGGAGAAAAGTTATAAAAAGATATGTAGAAGTTTATTGTTTTCCAAGTGAAATGAAATTAAGTACTTAATTTAAGGGATTGTTTTATTACGCTCAATAAGGGTTGGAATCAGGATGATCGTATTGTAATAAATTGGACCTTAAATTAAAGTAAGCCTATAATATAATTGCTCGTGTATCGGTACGAGCAAAATCGTGTACAGTACACTTTTCATTTATCCTAGAATTTGGCACGTGATTCACGTTACAACACAAACGTCTGTTGTGTCAACTTGAAAGAACGAAAAGGTTTCTCATTTTATAATGCGATACGTGACGATACATGATATAAAGCTAGATGTTAATGGGAATTATGCTTGAACCTCGAACAAAAAGAAGGGGGAGGCTACTTACTATGTCGTAACTATGTATTTGAAAATCACTCACATAACGAAATTTGTAGCAAATAATTATTGTTAATTGTTAGTTTTCATTTGTCATTTTCGATTGAAATAAATTGTCGAAACTTATTAATTTCAAAAGTTTTCAAATAGATTTTTATAAGATAAAGATCGATGAAATATTGATATTAATAATCGTTAATTTATCGCCTGAAATATATAGAAATATATTGCTTTTCAATTGTTTTCGCTTTGAAAATTTCAACGGTGAAATTGAAGAAAGAAAACGAGATAATAACAATATCTGGAAAGATCGCAAATACATAGCGAGAATAGTGTACTATAAATAATTCTACCTTAACGATTAAGTTCGCTATGAAGGACCATGATGGTCTTCACGAGGCTATCCTCCAGGAATCGAGCATTAACTCTCGAATCCTCTTTCGTACGTTTTAATAATACTGATATAGGTTTTCGACGTTTATCTCGCACTTAGAAGCTTCGAATCGTCGCTTTTACAAGAGTACGGAAAATTGACGTCCATCGCAAAAGAAGAGATAATCGACGTAAGGAGAAATAAACAAGAACAAGGAATAAATATATTAATATATTAAACAAAATGTATTAAAATTTTTCATGAAGAAGATAAAGATTTTGGAAAAAAGAATTATAAACCGATGACACAGGTATAATATATATTATAATTATCCAACAATCGAGATTCCGTTGCAGACCAGCGTATAAGTGTCAGAAAGACAGAAATTATCGTTAGATATTTTCAATCATGAATTTAATGAATTTCATGTGTTTGAATACAAAATTTCAAATGTAAGGCAGTAAATCTCAATTCTCATAGTTTTCCAGTAGTTTCAATCGTCTGATACATTTCTCTCTTATACTACTTAGGATCGTGTTGGTCTGACCGATGATCGACTTGTATCACTTCGTCCACTCATATTCTCTTCCGCATTAGAACCTCGGTTGAAACAAAGCTGTATGAAATCAATCAATCAAATTAATCGCACAATAAATATTCGTTTCTTTCTGTAATGTAATTAATATAATAATTCATATAAAATAGTAAGATTTGCAGACAGGACTTGATCGTAGAATCGTTTTTTAATTACAACTTCGTTTCTTTCAATCGTTCGAGTGATACGATAATTAAACAAGTTTCTTCGTACTACAATTTTCTTTTTTTTTTCTTTTGTTTTTTCAG